CCCGCGTGTACGTGCGTGTATCCGCGTGTACGTGCGTGTACGTGCGTGTACCTGCGTGTACGTGCGTGTACCCGCGTGTACGTGCGTGTATCCGCGTGTACGTGCGTGTACGTGCGTGTACCTGCGTGTACGTGCGTGTACCCGCGTGTACGTGCGTGTATCTCCGTGTTCCCGCGTGTACGTGCGTGTATCTGCGTGTACGTAGCTAAGTGCTGATTCGCTGTACATAAAGTCGCAGTTTACATTTCACATCTCGCATCTCGCATTTCGCATCTCGCATTTCGCATTTCGCATCTCGCATTTCGCATTTCGCATGAGCCTTCTGGGCTTTCGTAGATATCCGCTTCAAAATGTTGTATTTAAACATGTCACAGCAGTAGAACAGTGAGGTAACATGATATGGACAAATTATAGCAATAAAACGGATAAAGCCTGTATTTTCAGAGCAGCGCGTATAGAGGCAGGCCTTCAATGAGATTAATTCAAGGATTTGCTACAAAGTAACGTTCCGCTTCAAAGACACCGGTTTATCGATCTGTCCAACCTCTCCAAAATGAGGTCCAAAATAACCTCGTGTTTTTTTGCTTCGTGTGGAGGCGGCTGTTCAATCACTTACAACATCGTGGGTCCGACCGACAGAGAGCGACAGCTAGTGGGACTACATTGAAGGGGGACATTCGCTTGATGGCGTTGTCACCAGTCCACGACCGAGCTGAAATAGACGAGTCGTCAATACGACAAGTATACACACGGGCAATTTATTGACTATGACAATGTTGAGCTTATAATATATAACTTATCTCCATAAATTTTAATAAATATTATTCCAAAATTTTGCAACCTGTATTCGCATTCGCATTCGTAATATATATATATATAGAAAATATTGAAATGACAATAACTGGAGACATAATTATGCACTAACGTTTTCACTTTATTAGCTCTTCGGGTGCATATTATCAGGAGCGTATAATGACAAATAATAATAATTGTCATTATACGCTCCTGATATTATCAAGAGCATATAAAGAAGGAGAGCGTACAACGATAAAATGCTGAAACCATGTTGCAGTATTAGTCAAATTAATAAACTTTCCCCGTGTTATTTTGATTTCATACCAGATTTTCACCGCTCATTATCTCAGCGTATGGGCATCGTAGGGACATGCGGTTTGTTTTATATGAACAAGGTAGGACAGCTGATCAATAATACTGCAAAGAATCGTCAAAATAACACGGGAAAAATGTATTAATTCGACTAATACTGCAACATGGTTTCAGCATTTTACCGTTGTACGCTCTCCTTCTTTATATGCTCTTGATATTATACAGATAACGCACGGCCCGGCGGCGAAATTTTTTTTCCCAAACGGTATAACATAGCGAAGAATTTACCGCCTTCTGATTGGCTGCTTCCATTTGCTTTGCCTTTGACAAGAGAACAAACGCCCATTTGTAACATAGCGAAGAATTTACCGCCTTCTGATTGGCTGCTTCCATTTGCTTTGCCTTTGACAAGAGAACAAACGCCCATTTGTAACATAGCGAAGAATTTACCGCCTTCTGATTGGCTGCTTCCATTTGCTTTGCCTTTGACAAGAGAACAAACGCCCATTTGTAAC